CATCACACACGCACACGCACACGCGCACGCGCGCGCACACACACACACACCCACCCACACCCACACACGCAGGCACGCACGCACGCACGCACGCACACACACGCACACACACACACACACACACACACACACACAAACACATACATACATATTTCTATCTATCTCTCGATGTTTGCCCATATGAATGAGAGTCAGGTGACCACTGTCAGGTTTCTCTGCAACTAGCGCTTAGCAGGCCTTGTTGCTAGACTGATCTTTCGCCAATGTGTCTCTTTTTGCGTATGCTTCCGTCGGATAGAACCCCTGTCAGCAGACGAAGCTCATGAAGGGCTGCAAGGTAGAGACGCGCTCACTCTCTCTCCGGCAGTGTCACGGAAAGATTACGGTTTCCCGCGTGGTGCGACACCTCGCGGGAGAATATTCGCGTTCTCGGACCAGCCGTTGCATGCACGTGGCGCCATCTATCCGCAGCTTGCATGGCCGCGTGGAGATGTTGCCTGCGACGCGCGCGCGTGCGCACACACGCCATGCGCTAACCGCCAGCACACTAACGCGCATTCTTTGCCTAGTCGTAGTGGATCACCTGAGAATGTATATCTCGCTGATTCTGCCCGAGTGTTGCAGCGTTCGCATGTGTTTTTAGTTCCTGCAAGGACACTATCTAGTCCTTAGTTGTACATCCTCCCGAAAAAAAAACAAGAGAAAAGAAATAAACGGGAAAAAGGAACCCGTGAGTTGTCGTACGCTCTCTTCGGCCGTGCCACGTTTGGGTGGACCCGCAATAATATTGCTTTCTCTTTCGTATCTGTGGAATATTGGGAAGGTCTTCCTGTCGGCGGTTCCTCTAGCCTAGAACAGCCACTTGTTTCGCCGTCTGCCGCAAGGTGGCTGTTACTGCCGCGAAAAAAACTGCGGAACCTCTGCCGATCTGCGGAATGGCGTCCTGCCGCCTCTAACTAAATCAGCGGACTCCAAACTAAACTAGTTTCGATAGTGCAGCTTATCCTGAATTTTTTTTCTCTCTCTCTCTCCGTTTTTTCGTGCGTGCTGACACCAACCAGATAGCGGACATTGAAATGAGTTCGATGATTGGTCATCGGAAAGCCAGTAGGAAGCCGTCTACCACCTACAGCCCATGTGGTAAATAGCTGACGTCACAGAGCTGGAGCCACGTGTAGGCATTTATTAGCTGTGATTCTATTCATGTGTAATTGGCACAGATGTTCGGATGTTTTTTTCCCCGAGCCCAGTCTCTCTGTATCAGTGTCTAGTGAACGTTAGTGCAACAGCGATCGAGGGATCCACGACGTAAGCAGCGACAGGATGTCTCATGACGTCTATGAACGATTCGGTTGCACTGAGACGCCTGAGAACGATATCAATGTCTAACGTGAACCTGAATGATGGTCGAAAACACACGAGCGATTTTTTATTTCGCCCTAGTGCTGCATGTGCCGTGCTTCTATAATCATACTAATCCGTGTCTAATTTGGCCGTAAAGGCGAGCTGTATAGCTTGTAGCAGCTCGCGTTTGCGGCATACCTATCCTCGGGTATTAGTGAAGTGACATGCTGGCTTCCCACGATGAGAACACGATCCGGTCTCTTGGTTGATTCGAAACCTTAAACGCCACATGTGATGCATACATGCAAAACGCTCTTTCCCCTGGTATTCCTCTGCATGCATGCATAATTAATAGCATTTGCGTAGACTGGCTCGAAGTCCACAGGCTAATGGAATTATCCGCGTGCCCGTGGCGATGTTTACGCAGTTAAACCAGTCTAAAGTCGTATTGGATATAGGTCGAATACAGCGCTAATCTAGGAATTTAATCATTGGTTTTTTCGACAGACGAATGACAATACAAAAAAGGCTTTTGCTGGTATTTGCGGTCTCGCACACAACCAAAAGATCCTGATTGAAAATTCGTGGGAAGGATTTATTTGCCGCTACGGCAAGCATGCTGCACATAGACTGTATTGTTTGCTGTTTTAATTTGAAGCGCTTGCGTAGCTTTATTTTCACAAATTTTAACAATATTGATCTTTTGTCGCTAGTCAAATTACAGTCATTACAATGTCATAACATTGCAGTAAAAATCGCAATTAAAATAAATCGGTTTTTGTTTTGAATCTGTTAAACCCTAATGTACACTCTGTTACGCTGTATAAATATTTACATCCGTTTATGGTTTGTATGGAACATAGAACTGATGTAAAACTGAGATTACATCGATTCGTCAGCTCATTAATATGTTGTCTCTAAAGAAAGTCGTCATATGAATATTCAAAGGTTTAGAAAAAGCAAACTATCCTTCTATTAGATCTATCACAATGTAAATAACGTTTCTGAATTGTTGCTTCTATACACTGCTTTAACGTAGCAAGACTCTAATTCATATTTTTTGTCTACTTCAACCAGTTATCTTCGAACCGCGGTGGCAACAGTGCAAACCACGTTAACAGAGCTTCAACGCAGAGACGCACCTGCCTGTGACGTTATCGGACCCGCTTTACGTTTTAGCCTATTCTTCTTGGAAACGAAAAACAATGGCTGTGTGACGTCACCGCGCTATCGGACTGGCGGCTTCGCGCGGCTACGCACGTTAGCGCATCGTTTGTGGAAACTAAAAACAGTGGCTATATGACGTCATCGTTACATCGTGACCGATGCGTGTGTGCCGCATGGAGGGCTTTGGACCCGACAGACTTTCGGCTGGAGCGGAGGGTGGATAGAGATGGGAGTGCGTGAAGTGTGTACGCCTCCACAGCAGCTACTCACTGTATTAGCCTAGCTAGCACACATTGAGAGTGGCGCACACTCCAGCGACAACGACCGAGCTTAAGATTCCGATGCAACATCGCAGCAAGTAGGGGGTTGATACAAGTAGTACACACGGGCGTGAATGGATGATGGCAAAATATGCTGCTACAACGTCATTCGAGCCCTGACAACGACTAAGCCGCAACGCAAGTCACGTCCAGGAATTGAATTGAATTGAAGCGTGTATAACGACGGTTAATTTTATATAGTCAGGCCAGCCAATGTAACTTCATATTTAAACGCAAATCACGCGGAGGAAACAGAAATTGCGTGCGTGTATTATTGTAAACCCGCGTCGCTTGCGCCGCAGATCGGTAGATGGCAGCACATACTCGCAGTCGATACAGGTAGTCAATGATGCGAGAGGCAGACAATGAATATATAAGGAACAGTCTAATTATATGATGTTACCGTTACGGACGCAAATCGCATTTATTTTATAAGTACAGATGCCGGAACAAGCATTTGTATGCGTCTATAACAACAAACAGTAAATATATTTGTGACGTATATATATATATATAATAATATATATATATTTATATATAGTTCCACATCGACGAAGTCGCCGTGACAGCTGATAGGTAGCGCAAAATGTTTCCACTCCCTCTTCACTTCCCTAGTCGCCGCTTACGTGGCATGAGATATAGACATGACCTACGTGTGTATGTGTGTCGCCAGGCGGCGCGCCTAGGTAGCGTTTGATGTGCGAATATTTGTACGATATTTTTGTACAGAGTCGCGGTGTTATGACGCTCCCACTGAAGATAGCCCACGTGGACAATCTGTTGTTTTAACCGTGTATCTATTGCCGTGAGCATACCACGCATACGCACACATAGACGCATACGCCAGCCATCGCACGCACGCACGCCCGCACACACAGCACACACACACACACAGCGGACAGCACCGACGCGCGGCGACACACACACACCACACACACACACACACACACACACGCGCGCGCGCGCGCACACACACACACACACACACAACACCACGCACACCTACCACGCACACGGTCATATACACGCGTGGGCGCGCACGCACGCTCGCACGCACGTACGCACGCACGCACGCACGCGCGCGCGCGCACACACACACACACAAAATTACACACACAATCACACACACCCCGCACCACACACCACACGCGCGTGAGCGCCCACCGACGCACGCAATACACGCGCGCGCGTGTGTGCGCGTGCGTGTGTGTGTGTGTCTATAAAGATACGTCACTGTTTCAGTATTATCACTGTATGATTAGTCCGAGCGTAATTATTTTATTGTATATATTACTGCCGGATTCTATAATCGTTGATAGGTTTAGTATATAGCAGCTATATGGATATCTGTGTACATAAAGGAGGACCGCACCTGTATCTATAATTATCCCATTGACGTGAAGCACGACAATGTGTTCAAACAAAACAATTCCTGTATAAGGACTGTAGCGCATTCATTGATACCGTGAACACGCCATATATATGATATATATATATATCATATGTCAAACATTTTTTGGCGGAAATGTTGGCACGGAGCAGGTGTTCGTCTGATCATAATATATAGAAGAATGGTATTTGTTGTGCTGTTGATATATTATATGTACATCAAATATAATGTTACGTTGCGAGGCTTATGGAGTTAACAGTTTAAATGCATCTTTTTCATTCGAAATCTTCAGTAGGCTATCTCTAGTGGGACTTATAGTAGGACGTTTATATGGGCATATAGTATCGTGTCTAGTATAAACGTTGCTATTTTCAAGGTATAGCACTGCCTCTGGTACACGGGGCGATGCTTCGTGTCGGTAATATTTTACCCACGTGGCGTTTATTTTATTTTATTTCATCAGGTACAGAAAACAGATGGCCTGCGAACACCCGCAATGTCGACCGCGTCTAGTTATCATATAGTACTATATAGTTACCATAGTTACCATATAGTGCAATCGCATTGTAACGTCGGATGAGCTCTGAAGCCTCTCTTATAACTATTATTATATCCACGCGAGGCAAGCTTCAGATGCGCGAACATTTTTATAGCAATTTATCGATCATGTTCCGCCTTGCCGTTTCCCGTGTAACAACAGCTCCTTTACAATGACTTATCGCGCTGCTTCGTGTAGTAGGGGGTCATATAGGGCGGGGTGCAGTAGCGCAGCCTCGTACGTTTCACCCCATTACTTTCTCTAGCAAAGCGAAGGTGGAAAAAACCGGGATGCGCACATGTCACAACTAATCATCAATCTGTTTCATACGTCATATAATATAATATATATATATATATATATAT